CATTAGATCCAGGCTGCCCAGAAAGCCACTATTTAGCACACAGGCATGACCCAGAAGAGGAATCACTTCTCTGATCTTGGTTTCCTCATTTAAAAAAAAAAAGGATGGTACTATCTGGTTTTACCCTGTCACAGACTTTTGCATTTCACTGAAACAGCACCCTTCTCAGTGGGGCTTGCTTTGGTCACCTCCAGGCAAAAGAGCCTCCAATAGCACCTGGTGTCTCTCTCAGGATGCTGGTTTGAAGAGAAGAGAGCCGCTCTCAGATCAGAGGGCTTCCCACTTCACCCAGACCAACATGGGACACAGGCCTATGAAGACAGGCAGACGCCTCGACTGTCAACAGAAAGGAATCTGTGGGAAGGCAAAGCTCCAGCATTGTGGACCTTTCACAGGGCACATGGCAGCTTAGCCTGGGCTAAAGAAATCATCTGTTTTTGTAGAATGTGTTTGAAGGTTTCTCACTCATATTTTCTTAGAATGTATTCAGATTTGCCAGGGTGAGGGACAACTGAGGAAACCTACACTCAACTACAGTGGCAGTGAAACACCGAAGGCTTTCAACCTAAATGAAAGAAAGACGACGACGTTTCAAACTTCTGTTCAACATCAGGAGAGGCACAAAAGGCCAAGAGAGAAAAAGGACATAGACTGAAAAGGAACACAGCTGCTTACAGCTGCAGGCAATGTGGTTATACCTGGAAAAAATCCTAATCAATCTGGAACTAAATTTAGCCAGGATAAATAGTTATAAACAAAAACCAACTACTTCTTTTTTTTTTAAATCAACTATTTCTAAGAGGTAGCAAACAACCTGATAATAAAAAGTTTAAAGTCCATGTATAATATAATAAAAAACTAAAATACTTTGGGATGTGTTTAATAAAAGATAGTGAAAAATATAAAACACAGCTGAGAAATTAAAGAAGATAAATAGAGACTTTATGAGCTAGTATATTGTTAAAATGACATTCCTGTAAGTCTTTTGGTTTAAAGGAAAAAAAAAAGGTGAAATACTTGAAAGGTGAACAGAGTCCTAATCAAAAATTGTAAGAAAAAGATGTCCAAAATCACCAGAAATCAATATGCCTCAATGAGATACTAGCACACACCTGGTACTTTAAGCACTAAAACACAAGACTGAACGTTAAAAGGACTGACATTTTTCAAGGTTGGCAAGGGAACAATCACAAAAGAGTCTTTCTATGCTGATTCTGTCCTCTAGCTCCTATATTTCTCACAAAACTTAGCAAAAAACTTTAAGTACAATCATTTCATAAATGTTTCCTGCATTTGGTCTGATAATGAATGACAGGGCAGAGATGACCACTGAAGTACTTGAAAATAATAAATTACTCCACAGGCTCCAGCTGCAGGCATCACTGGATTTCTTCTTCTTCTTCTTCTTCTTCTTCTTTTTTTTTTTTTTAACTTTTTTTAACTTTTTATTGGTACCGGGGATCGAACTCACGACCGCCTGCTTGCAAGGCAGGTTCTTATGCTGCTGAGCTAAATCGCCAGCCCCCTATCACTGGATTTCTAACTGAAACTTATCTGGAAAACAATACAGTCAGATTACTCATGAGGTTAGTAAAAGCCTATTGTCCCCAAAAGAAGCATATCCATTTACATTCAGTTAAGTTACCAACAACTGAAAATATGCAAAAACTTATGCAAAGCTCTTGGACTAGTTTTAAAAATTAATTCTGTGGCTCCCAGAAGTAGCACCCATGCTGTGTGTATCACTCAAGGTCTGCTGAGAGAGGACAGCACTCATGGGGCTGTGGTGCGGCCAGGTCTGACAAGCACGGCCACATGGCAGACGAGCATCCTCTCATACACTGCAGGAGACAGGACTCTTGCGAGGAAAAGGAGCTGATTAGTCTGCTCATAAGGGAAAAATGAAACAAATAAATCCATTTTATGCAACTGTTTTCTAGCTTGAGAAGTTAAACTGCTGAAGATGCTTAGCATGCAGGGTATCATGCCAGCCTCACTGCATGCCTTTTCTAATTGGCACCCTGAAAGATTCCACAGAAAAAGGGTGTTACTCTGGTATTGTTGATGTAAAGGTTATCTAGTCACAGTGAGGAAGAGAAGAACTCATCTTCAAAATTCACCTCCTCACAGAAGCCCATGGAGTGTCCTGGCAATTAACAATTCCTATCACCTATGGCTGTTCCCTATGTGAGAAGGCTCAGAACTCGCCTTACAAATTGCTCTTTTGAAGATCAAAGGGAAGCTGAATGTGTCTGTGTGTGCTCTCGATGAGACTGCAACTTAATGGAATTTCTAGAGGAGGCTGCACTGGCAGTGCTCGGATGACAGCCCCAGGCGGAGGATTCAGGGGAGCTTGGCCACCCTTCCCTTCGGAGCATCTTCCCTGCCTTTAATTGGCACCTCATTAGGAATTAATGAAAATGACATCCTCTGTTCTTCCTGCTTTAGGCATAGAATGCTACAAAAAGGCCCATCACAATTCATAACACATTCAATTTATATAGCAATGGCTCTTAAGCATTATTTATGAGATGTGAATTTCTTGTCAGCAGTTAATAACCTGTACAGAGTGGAAGGGGAATGGAAGAAAAGATTGCGGATCTGTATAAAAAAAAGATTTTCTGCAGTGAAGAAGTGTTCTGTTTGAGTTCAAACTACCTTCCTGAGACTTCACTTTCGACAGTAAATTACGGTGGTCCCCTCTTCACCCAAAACCTTTCAGGGCTGCTAGATGTCTGCCCAACACTTCACGCATCCTCAAGGACACAGCCATACAACTCCTCTCTCCTAGACAGACTCAAGCAGGCACACAGGAGGAATGTAACACCAGCTGTCAAAGGCGGTCCTGGCTGTGTGTGCCCACTGCTGTCCTTCATTTGTTTAAAGTGTGGCAGCTAACTCAGTCCTTTGCCCGCCCCATGTTTTAAGACAAACTCAACTCTCAGGTCTTGCTCTAGGACAGCTCCACCTGCAGAAAACTCAGTTTTCTTCTTCAACAAAAAAGCCCATTTTCCTTTACATAAACTCTCAGAATTGGACACAACTGGACCAAGCATTAGATAACTGAAAAAGAACACAGTTCTGTGGCAAACCAATGGCTTCCTGCCCCAAAAGATGAAAGCATACTGAAGTAACCACGCTAGTTTGATAGTCAAAAAGCTGATTTCACTAAAGGCACAAGAAGTCATCGAACAACTGCTTCTGGAACTGTTCAGTAGGGTGCCAAGACCTCGGGAAACTAGAGAAAAGCTGAAGGGTAAACTGGGGCGCTGGGTTACATCACCTCAGGATCTCAATGCTAACCTGTGAATTCCTTCTGCAAGCCTGACACGAGAGGAAGCATTAGCACTGCCAGGCAAGACAGTACACCTGATGGACCAATTGCTCGTTCTGCTATGGCAAATCCTGTGATTCAGATATCCGGGATTCAGCTACATTCAAGAAAAGAAACAATGTAAGGTAGAGAAAAATCATACAGTTCTGAGGAGCAATAACCAAAAGCCTATGTTATTATAAAGGCAACAGGTAATAGGTCCAGGTAGGTTTCACAGGACTGCTAACAAACTGTACTGTTGAAATTCTCCAATAATTCATGAACATGGATATGATAATTTGCAGACCTCAAAGGATTAGACTCTTCTGTACAGGGCAATGTTGGTTACCATCAGGCCTTAGAGCTATCTATCCAGGAATTTAAATTACCTTGTCAGCTTGGCTAAAACAGCCTAAGCATGAAGTTCTGACTCATGGGGCACACCCCATGCACAAACCCTGCTAAAAACCGCTGGCACTCTGCTCCCACCACTTAGCTTTACACTTTTCCACTTTTCCATAAGCATTTAGGAGCATTCCCGAATGTCCTAAGCATCCTACTTCTCTAGACACCCGCCATCCTGCTCCCTGTTCCTACATGTTCTCTAACCTTGCGGAGTCACACACACCACAGTGTAATAGACAGGCACGCGGCCCTCCCTGGAACAGGCATTTCAATTTAGTTTCCATGAGAAGCTAGCAACCCCCTACTCATTTCCAAAAGGGCAGGTAACTGAAGGACAGAAGCAGCGTTACGGCTGGCTGTTAAAACTTTCCAGGGAGTTTACCACCACCACACGTGGAGGTTGTCCATGGCCATCCTAGAGGTGCACAAGGGTGTCTAAGGGTGTCTAACATCCAGGGATGAGAGAGACCAGATTCTCACAGGTTAAAGCCAGATTCAAAGTCAGCCTGATGATGACAGTTCTATTCCATGGACCAATTTTATAATGACACTCTAAAATCAGGAAGTCAAATCAGCAACCAGACAAATGTGCATCAGCCTAAAATAACACAGTTACACAATTTTAACCCCTGTATGATGTGATATATGTGGTCAAGAGGAATGAAGAAATTCTAAGTTTTGTTCCACCATGGGTAGGCATAAAGTTTTAGGAATTGCACCTTTTCTGCAGCCATCCTAAGAGGTGGTATTATACTGGCAAACTAAGAAGAAAAGGTTACTTTGATGGCAATTCAAGGTGTTAACTCACTGACTGAATTAAGAGTCAAAGAAAACAATTTGCTTATCACACCTTAAAGGACATATAAAGAAAATTCTTCTATTTATCATTACTAGTAAGAAGTTCCTTCAAAATTAACTTAATATCTAAAATTTATGGTACATAACCCACATTTGCTGATTTGGGAAATTTTTAAAACAATGAACAGAAGAAACCAGTAAGAGGTAAAGAGAAGCTAAACGCAGCAAGTAGTGACAAAATAGCTCAGTATGTGGAAGAGTAGTTAGGAAACTATTTTTCTTTTGGTCTGCGGGAGACGAGAAGAGGAAATGGGGGTGTTTTGAGGCAAGAAGCTGCAGTCCTGCTCTCCAAAGCCCTAACCCCACAGTCTATAGGAGGTGCTGGGGAGGGAGGGCAGGACGCCAGCACCTCAGGGATAGCTTGCAAAGTCCTGCTGGGTAGGCGTTAAGGACGTCTCCATCGTGCCTCTGGGGAGATGCTTACCACAGCGACACGATCCCAATTCCTGCTGCACCAGCTCCAGTTTGGTTTGGCACTGGAAGCACCGACGTCGACTCTTCTGTTTGGACCGGCTGGTGTCCTCAGACCGCTCGGTACTCTCCAGTAGTCGTGGCCGTTTCACAGGAGAAGCCTCATTCTCAGACTGTGAATCTGATCAAAACAACACATCGAGAGATCACTACTAGTTCTTGGCTTGGCAAGCACAAGCAATTTAATACACTGCCATGCACCACTCTGGTCTAGGAGGAACTAGACCTATGTGAGCAAGAAGCCAGGTTTGTTCTATTTTTGGTTTTTTAAAATAGAGTCTCTGTATGTAGTTCAGGCTGGACTTGAACTCACAGCAATGCTCAGCCTCAGCCTCCCAAACACTGGGATTACAGGTGTGTGCCACCACACCCAGCAAGAGAGCCTATGTCCTGTCAGGTTTATAATGTATAATCTATGACAAGCAGACACCTTCTAACAAATCAGGCCTGGGGAGGGGAGGGGAGGGGAGGGGAGGGGAGAGGGGAGGAGAGGAGAGGAGAGGAGAGGAGAGGAGAGGAGAGGAGAGGAGGGTGGAAATACTCTCCAAATCAGTTCTGGGTTGCTGTTGTTTTTACAAATAGCTAAGTTGTCATAAGGACCCCATTCCAGCTGGAAGTGGGATCCTCTATCTGAGCCCCTTCTTCGGCTCCTACCTGTTTACTACTTACATTCAGCTGTTTACCTCTTCTTGGGTATGTGCTTGTCCTCGAGTGGACTGTAATTCTTTCAGAGAAGAGACTGTAACACATACTTACACTTCTGTGCTTAGCACAATGCCATATTCAAAGCCAGTGTTTGTCAGGAGATACAATCTTTTCTATGAATATTACAGGTGTTTCTATTTTTAAACACATAAAACTAAGGCTCCACTATCAAAAGTAAGCCCAAAGTTATCATGAAGGAGCACCCGTTTGTCCCATGGCCTCCATTGAGTGTCACACAGGCAGCAACTGAAGCCCCACACCAGGAGCTGTACCACAATGGCAGGAGAAGGAGATGTATGGCAGTTCGTGTCTTTTAGCCTCAAAAAAGTAGCTAAAATGCAATGAAGTTCAAATAACAAGAAGGCTACAAACAACTGGTTTCAAATAAATGGGGAGTACTTGGGAGTGGGGGATGCTGTACTCCTGAACAGCTAGCACAAGACAGTGGGAAAGCAGTCTTGAAAATAATCCTGATCTAACCACTTGTCAGCTCTTCAACACCCCTGCAATAATCTAAGCCATCACCATCTCATCCAGCCTAGCACAAAAGCCTCTTTGCTGGCGCCCTGTTCACCTTTTGTCCCTCACAGTCTTTCCATAAAGCAGCCAAGAGATCCCATGTTAGAATCACTTTCCTGCTTAAAACCCTCCAACAGCTCCCTCTCAGAGTAAAAGACCTTGCATAATGTGCCCTCCTCTCCTCTCTGTCTCCCTAGGCTCCATCTACACTAGCCTCCTGTTGCCTGTATCTGGAGCTCTGCACCCTCTGTTCCGCTCTCTGAAACACACATCACCCAGGTTCATGTGACACTCCCCCAACACCTTTTTCTTCGTACCAGGAACTGAACTCAGGACAACCTTGTGCCTGCCAAACAGGTGCTGTCTGTGGAGCTACATCCCTACTCCCTTTAAGTCTTTGCCTCAAAGCCAGTTTCAGTGGAAGTCTTCCGGATCACTCCACCTACCCACCCTACCTCCTGCCTTACTTTCCTCTGCAGTTTGTCCCTTAATGTAACCTCTTAGGAGAATGGGAGCTCTAAAAGAGCTAGAAACTCACCTGCTTTGTTCAGCAATGTGCCCTCTACGACTACAATGCAGTAAGCATTTCCTGAATGGCTGATCTGCTAGGCAGCCCTGCTTCTCTATGTCAGGTGGCCTCAGCACACTGCACGCGTCTTAGTGCTGGCTGTCTGCACTGCCGTTCCCTACCCTCCCAATGTGCGAAGGATGGCACACTTCACCTAAGATCATCCCTAGTTCCAACAGAGAGGGGCAGTCTGTTCTCAGACCCAATCCTACCACCCTGTGCACTGGCATAGAGATGCCCTGCACTACTCTTAGCAATTGCAAACTTCATTTCTCATCTCATTTAATTCCTGCAGCCCTACATGACATTTTCCCCAATATAAACCAACCAGATAAGGACTTTGATGAAAACATTTGAAAGCAAGCTCAACCTATTTCCCAGCTCTGCTGAGTGCAACTGTCCAGACCCCAGCCCTGTGGCCACTGAAGCAGCCAGACAGGCTGGGCCCCTTCCTCTTCTTCTAGGAGACAGTAACAATCTAAATGTAAATCATAAGCAGTCTGCCAAACAATTCATCTTATGTGAGCCATGCTGCTCTCCTGGGGGTCCTTTTCCACAAACCCGCAATGGCACTACCTGTATTAATACAACTATTTAGACATACTTTTTTGTGTAACAAAAAATTCTTGAGTAAAAGCCACAACAACAACAGAAGGTATCTGTTCTGAGACAGGGCTCTAAATCTGAAGCATCCTTGTAAGAAAATTACAGAGGTATCTCGGTTCACCAACACTTTTGTTTGCATACAATACAGTTGACAAAAAGAAGCATTTGGCAAAATTCCGTTTTTGTTTGCAAATTCTATATGAGTGACCAACACGACCACAGCCATCTTTCCCATACAAACACAAATGGGATCATTTTTTCCCAAAACTATAGAAAAAAATTAAGTTCATGAACTGAGATATCACTGTATCCTATAGCCTGGGGTAGAGGGATTTTTATTATTAACACTATCAAAATCTAGAGGACTGTGGCATGGTGCCAGCACACCTAACATAAAAGAGGGCACTCAGATGCTGAGGCTCTCACTCACACTTCTGATAGAAACAATTGTGTACAGAAATGCAGCTGACTTTCCCACCTTCCCAAGTCTGGTCTAAACTGTCAAATGTACTGTTTACCTGCAAACATTTTTAAAGCAGACCTTTGCTGCAAGCAGAAGACAATTTAACTTCAGGTATCAATAAGGCTGCATGGGAAGGGAGCGGGAGGGGAAAAGGAAGTAGGAGGAAGGAAAAACGGGGGACCCCTGCAACATGAACTACAGCTAACCACTTTCAAATAAACAAGGAAAGGTACATGACAACTTTTTTCACTGTATGATTCCCAATGATTGGGAAACACAGTTCATATTTACAAAACCACAACCAAACAAGTGCTTTAATGAGCTGACCAACAGTTAAGAGGCTGCCCAGTAGTGACCGCTTTTCCCCCACCTTATCTAATCAACAAATATCAATAACAACACTAAAGAATCAATCTATGGTTCTTTGATGAGATTATCCTTGATCCATTCCACATTAACATCAATAGTACTGAGTTGTTTGTTCTGCTAGGTAGTGGGTATGGGAAATTCCCAAAATAATGGGTCCAAAGGGAGGCTTCTGATCACACTGCATTGGCCGTCCTAAAGGACACCACTGAGCTCTAGCTGGTCCTCTGAGTCAATGCCCAGCACCTGTCCAAGTCTACAACCAAAGGATTCATGAAACGAAGAATTGTGAGAAGCTATCCTAGAATGTTCTATACCAAGACAGACAGACAAAATGTCTAACACAGGGTACTATTTTTAAGTAAGTATGTGTGTGTGAGAGAGAGAGAGAGAGAGAGAGAGAGAGAGAGAGAGAGAGAGAGATCAGAGATCGGGATCAAGGAACTATTCTTAGACATTACAGCAATCCACAACTTTTAAACTCTGGAATATGAAGGGGGAGGGGAATTCAGCCCCGAAATTATTTGCCAGTTTCCAAATCAGCCATGCAGAAAAGTAACTGTTGCATATAACTTCTTGGTGAAGGCAAATCGTCCATTGGCATTTTCTCACAAGTCATCTTAGAGTTTTAATTGGAAGTTAATGAAATAAATAGCAGTCTATAGGAGCATCATCATGTCTGCATAAGAAATTTACATCTCCTCTGCTAATTATTTAATGAAATCTTGTGTCGGGGAAGTGAGCTGCCTTAAATACCAGAAACAGATGTCCAGGACAGGAATTCTAATGACATAATAATGAACTAAATAATTCAACTATTCAATCATAAATTCTGTATCAATTATTAAAAAAAAGTATCAGAAAGAAAAGATCCAAACTGGTTAACACTAAGGAAACCATCTACTGTCCATATTGGAATGAACTAAACTATGATTATTTACTTTTTGCTCACAAATATTATTTCTATACCCTGAGGTAGGTTCAATTTCCTTAACAGTGACAGAGAACTAATTAACCTACTTGCACATTCTAAACTTGGTTAGTAAGGGTTAAATGTGGAGCAAGGTGAACAGAAATAACTCTTCTACGAAGCTTTAACTGTCAGAAGAAACAAGTCCTTGCAAGGAGCATGCTCATTAGCAGCAGGAGGAGCTGTAGTGGCAAGCTATAAACTGCTCCCACCCCAGGAGTTGAGAGTGACTTCTAATTAAGGTCCTTCCTAAAGAGCCAACAAAGCAGATTTTTCCCCCTCCTATGCGTTCTCTTTAGAACATGATCTAGTCTGGCTGTATCCACACAAAGCTGACACACTCCTTGCCAGGTCTGCAGACCTTTCTTTCCCTGCCAGTGTTTGCCAAGAGGACAAGGATCCCACATCAGATCCTCTGGTCAGAGGAAAATGTGACCAAGGACCATGTGATTAAATGAGATAAGAAAATCTTAAGAAAACCCAGTCTACCTATCAGCTGGCTTTGTCTGAAGGTAATCATTGCTTAATTTGTGACAGAGAACAAATACAATGATTTTGAAAACATACTCTTCTGAAGAGAAATTCTTCATTATGTGTTCCTAGCCAACTGCAGAAAGTATTGAGACTTTCAATACAAGAACACGTTTAACTGGAAAGCTTGACTGCAAATAATAAACAGAGCGACTTCTTCTAAAATTCTGTTTGGTCTTTGACAGAAATTCACATTTGTTCCTTGCTGTCACTGTTCTTGTCTTTATTACTCATATTCTCTCCTAGAAATTTCCAAACACACTGTGTCAGGCCTGTCGGAGTTGAATCCCAGCCTCTCTTCATCTCCTGTCACTGTGCAGTGAGCAGCCTGCGCACACCTGGGCCGCTAACCAGGCTGTGGCCTGCTGACACCTCAGCCCGCTCTGTGCCTGG